CAGGCTAGTATGAAAACACACATGAATGAGAACATGATTGTGTTCTTGAATCGGCGTGTGCTGTATTTATAATCTACAACACTTCTAGTGCACTGCGTGTGTACCACAAAATCATATACAACATAATATAACGCTAGTATAACATGACAGTCACCTTTATTTGAGTCATGAGAAAAAGTTTTTGCCCTGCCCCTCAGTGCCCTCTGCAGCTGTATTTTACAGGGTATGTGCGGCTTTTGACAGCTGCAGCAGCGCTCAGGTTTGATATTTCCGCGACCGCACTACAGCAGTCGTGAGTTCAGTTGGTTAAACAATGTGCGGTGAGGTGTGAGGGGTTTTACAGACTTAAAACAGACAGGTGCTTCTTTGTGGATATTAGTTTCTTATGAAGTGTGGATATAACAGAACTGCCAGACCTGTCACCCATGTTGTATCTTTGGGATGCTCTGAGTCGCCAGATATGACAGCATTTCTGGTACTTGCTAATAACCAGCAACTTTTCATTCATTCATGTGCAACTACTGTAATTCCATTCCACAGACAAAGGTGGCCTTGTTTCTGGACAAAATTGATAGAGAGGTCTATTGTGCGTGGATATAGATGACATCACACGCACTGGTAAAATGTGGCAATAGAGCCCCAACTCTGCTATAGTTATGTGGATGTTTTATAACACTTTTGAAGCAACTGTAGATAAATCTGAACTCATCATTAGGACAGGATGCACAAGCTGGTGATTTTCCACTCAATGTTTTGGTTGTCTGAAATTGAACTAGCATAACCTTGATTCCATTCGTTTAAAATCACTTGCATTCTGAAAAACTTTGGACGTGTCTTTTTGCAACGTCAATAAAAATCCTTCTGTGCCCGGACACGGCCCCAGACCCGCGTGTCATTTTCTTGAGTTAACAACACAAATTCTGAACTTGGACAGAAATTGCAAACTTCACACTGTCACATCTGTCATATTATGATGTGTGTGCTTCTCGATGCTCAAAACACAGATTCGAATCCAGAATCCTACTTTGCAAATCTCAAAAATAACTCACACAGTCGGCTGTAACTCGACTTCCAATCATTAGAGCTTTTTTTTCAACCATATAGCTTAGGATTATCCTTTTTCCGGATAGGATTTCTGTTTTCCGTGTGTCCTGAAGTCCTCACAGACCACTGTCCATTCTGAGACAACAGTTAATGTTTCTGTGTCCAATCCCATATAAACCCATGTCTTCAGCAGCGACATGTTTTACAGACGCTCTCCAAACACGTCCAAGCACTGGTCACACTTTACGCCACAAACAGTTGAGTGAAGTTTCCCCGATGTTTTGATCCAGCCATGTTTTTCCACACAGAGATGGGAGTGAGTCTAATGTGTATATACCCCGCTCCCATCTCGATGTGTTGTGAGAGACAAATGCCCACAATTGTAAACCACTTTGTGACTCTGGTCTGTGAAAGGCGCTATATAAATAAAGATTTCTTACCTACTTATATATATGTATAGAGTGTATATAACACGTAGACAGATCAACACTGTTATTTCAAGCGTTGTGCGTGGATCTCTGCCCCTCGGAGAGTTCAGATATCTGTACAACGCCTCTGTCTAGGTATTGTGCTAACCGTAATCGGACTGTTGTGTGTAGACCGTCTTGTGCCATGTAAAGACTGAAGGGAGGGAAGCGAGTGAGACACAGGAAAAGAGATGCAGAAGGAGAGCAGAAAACAACACTATCAAAGGAGCGCTTCAAAGACTATCATCTACGTCTCATGGGTAATTTGCGATCCTGCATTCTTTGGACTTCAAAGGTCTGCTGTGCGCTGGAATACTGCGAGTGGGTGAGTAAAGAGGGGGAGGCACAGGGACGGTGAAGGGCCCGGAATCTGATTTTTCTAATAAATGCTGACACCGGGCCTGTTTGATATTAGATTCAGGGAACAGTTTGATTTGTTATCGCCTTTGAAACTCGTCAGACGTCCTTCATCGAGAGGCAGCTTTGACGAGAGCCACGCCCTGAGAGTGGAAGAGGCCTCACAGAACTTTGGTTGTGTGGCATTGACCGGAGTGGTTCTATGGCTGTGTATGTGTGTTGTTGTCTGGGAGGCGTTCTACAATTTACAAGGCCCCGGGTTCAGTCCTGAAGACAGAGGCAGCAGCGATCGCACCTGTAACCCGGTTTATTTTTCAGTTCTTCCAGACAGAACAAAAGAAGACAAGGCTTTTTTATATAATGTGTTTCAATATACATAAGAACAGGGACTTCATCCTTTAGTAGAGTAATGACGCCTATGAATAAAATATAGACACTAGCAACAATGTGGGTTAGAACAAATACGATCAGTTCTTCAGATAATAATGTTTTTACAGATATAACATTATAAACACCTGTTATGATATATATATTCAATTCAACCTCATTATAGACTCTAGGTCCAATTTAAAACAGACAAACAGACAAGGTAAAGACAAAAACATATATGTTCTGGGACCAAGATGGTGCCGGGTTCAAATCCCGGGTCGAAACAAGGCCTTTCTGAGGGTAGTTTTCATGTTTTCCCAGCGTATGTGTAGGTTTCCTCCAGGTGCTCCAGTTTCCCCTACCACTAAAAACATGCGCAATAGGTCTGAATGTAATGAGTGAGTGAATGGATGGTGTTTGGTTGGAGGCTTTGATGGTCCAGTGTGTCGGGCGTCTCGCTTCAGTCATCACCGTGTTTGGAGAGAATGGAAAAATTATCTGAACTCTGAACAACTTGTTAAGCGCTTTGGGTGACCTTGTTTATGATAAGTACTGCCAGGGCAAACCTTACGCCCCGAAGGATGTTCTACTTCTACTGTGAGGAGCCGTATAATATATTAATTACTAAACTATTGACTAAATATCAAACTGTTGTTGCCAGAATCAAACCTTCCTGTGACACACTGATTAGAAACTGACTGAAAAACTGGCAACCCAAACGAGAACCGCATTCTGCTCTTAGAAAATCTACTAGTAAATTATAAACATAATTATTGTGGTCGTCATATCAATTGTATTTTTAAATGTATCCACTTTTAACTTTTGTTCAGAAAAAGGTCAAATGTGATGTGTATCCGGGGACAAAAGGTACAAGCTGTAGATGTAATTTAACATGAAACTATGACATACTTTAAATATGTGTTAAGTGAGTCTTTTGGTTTTAGCACTCGAAGCAGAAATTAATTGGAGCAAGATCCCAGGAGAAAAACAAATTCCCATTGAGTGCTTTTTATGATTCATGATTTAAATAAGTGCGCTGAACAGACAAAGAAACCAACAGAATGGTTCACACTCTGGGTTCTCAGCTAAAAGGTTCGAATCCCAGGTCCAATTGCCTTGCCAACTCTTCTATACGTGCTCGTCTGGATGGAGTTCTATCACTTTTCCTTCTGAACTAAGTTTTTTAAAGGTCCAGGTGCACCGAGACTGACCCTCATGTGCGAGACTTTATCTATCGGACTGCGTTCAATAGCTCAGGTGTCTCCAACCTCTTTCACCCAGAGCTACTTTCCCGGGACGATAAAGGCAGAGAGCTTCTCCATTCAGCGGCCCTGGGAAAACATGTGGTGATATATTGGTCAGATCAAGTCAGATGATAGATAGATAGATACTTTATTGATCCCTGTAGGAGAAATTCAGGTGTCCAGTAGCAGCAAAAATAAAGAATAAAATGTATCATTCTAAAAAGCTAACGATAGTAATAATCAGCAATAGCCCTTCAGGTCACAGCAGCAGAGGTGGAGTAGCCTCTGGGTGGAGCAGGACGGGTCACAGCAGCAGAGGTGGAGTAGCCTCTGGGTGGTGCAGGACGGGTCACAGCAGCAGAGGTGGAGCAGGACAGGTCACAGCAGCAGAGGTGGAGTAGCCTCTGGGTGGTGCAGGACGGGTCACAGCAGCAGAGGTGGAGCAGGACAGGTCACAGCAGCAGAGGTGGAGTAGCCTCTGGGTGGTGCAGGACGGGTCACAGCAGCAGAGGTGGAGCAGGACAGGTCACAGCAGCAGAGATGGAGTAGCCTCTGGGTGGTGCAGGACGGGTCACAGCAGCAGAGGTGGAGAAGGACGGGTCACAGCAGCAGAGGTGGAGTAGCCTCTGGGTGGAGCAGGACAGGTCACCAGGTGGAGTAGCCGCTTGGTTCAGACCATTTTCTCATCTCTAGTCCAAAGTAAAATGCTAAACGCTTCATTAGCATTTTTCAAACAATTAGCATTCCTCCAGTGGATTTTCCACTTGGTTCGGACCATGAATCATCTCTGCTCCGGTCTGGACCAGTGTAAAACCATGAACACTGTACTGCAGCAACATCTCAGGTAGAAAAAAAGCAATAACAATAAAAGTTGTAAAGCATAAAACAACAACTGTTTCAGAGCTACTTAGGACTTGCGTAAACGTATCGGGTACTTTCATTATTTATAATTGCATATTTGTTACTATTGCACAAGTTTATGCATTTTCAATAATAGATAGATAGTGACAATGAATAATACAATCTGAAAAATTAAGTATATTACTGGATTTGTTCATTTCTCAATCCTTTGGCGAGCTACCTGGAAGGGGGTGGCGAGCTACAGGTTGGAGACCCCTGCACTAGACTCTATCCACCAGACCAATAATAATAATAATGACATGTACATTTTATATTTGTCTCACTGTGTCTCTCTATTTTTATTCTTTTTGTCCGTGTTTGTGTCTGCTTTGTGGTGTTGGTGCCCCCGGTGTCTCCTGTTTGTATTCCAATGTAGTTGTTTCTGCAAATGGCAATAACTTGATTCTGAAAATTGATTCTGATGATGTACCTATTTCTGTAACGGCACATACAACACTCACCCCTGCATATTACAGCGAACTTCAAATAACCCACAACACAAATAACAACAAAGCAGGTCAGTTCTTTTTACAAAACCACCACTTGTTGCACAATAACGACATCAAGACGAGAGTAGATGTGGATCCTTGTGCTCAAATAGGACTCCTGAGGTTTGTTAATGAGCTGCAATCACACGTGTTACTGTCCTGAACCGGTGCCAGCCCAAAAGCGGTCCATCCTGGCGGTCCTGCCACAGTCCCTCCAAACTTCTCCGTCTCTCCATCCGCTCATTAGAGTGTGTTTGGAACAAAGAGCCATCTGGGCACTACTACCTGCCTGCTCCGGCGGTTTACCCACAGAGACTGCAACATCTGTCCGCAGGATCAAAGACACTTGTGTTTTCTCCTCATCCCCATCTCTCTCCTGCATCTTCTTCACCGACTTCTCTCAGCTTGGCTTCTGTCGCCCCGAAATCCAGGTATTAGAGTGAAAATAAACAAAATTCATCCCCATTTGTGTTTTTTTCACCTACACCTTTCTGTCACTCTCAGCACATACCCTTTAGGTGTCATGTAGTTTCCCAGACAGCGGATTTTAGATAATTGTTTTCCTGTGAGAATAATGAGGAAGATACTGTTTTGAGATCTTTGTAGCTGTTAAAATATTGAACCGCTTTAATTTTAGCAAGAGGCTTCAAAAACCAGTGACGGCTTTGAGAAAACTTTGTAGACATCTGGAAGTTGAATTTGTGCATAAAATGTGAATTTGAGTATATTCTGACAAATTTATCAATGGGACAAAGCCATTTACTTTATCATTCCAAGGAAGACATTAAGCTTTGTCCTCTTCTCAAAATGTTCTCAAATTAAAATACCATTTGTCATATTTGAGAGATTGTTGACTTTGACTTTTGTATCACTTTTTGCAGTGTACAGTAGCCTGCCATATTTTTGTAACATAGAAAAGTAAAACAATTACCTACATATTTGAGCATTACAGCTTTGATAAGAGCAGATTGTGTGTTTCTTTGTGCACAGGCCGTGACTTAAAAACAGTGTCCCATATTAGCATTATCTAATATTTCTATATGTTCAAATGTTTCATTCATATTTTTGCAGGAATTTAAAATGTGTTTATTTAGGAGTTTCTCATTCTTTCAGTTTTGCACAAATGTTGAATGGGATTGAAGTGAGGGCTGCGATGGCCACTCCCACACCTTGACCTAGTTTTCCCTTTTTACCGTATTTCAATTTTCGGTGTAACTGTGAAATGGGCTTTGTCAGATTTCCTCATAATGAAGTGCAAATTGAGCCCTCATTGTAGCAGCTTGTATTGCAGAACAGGGGAAGGCGTCTCCACACTTATGGTGCGGTGTTTTCCCTGGCATGACCTGCGATCAGCACATGTGTGATCCTTTAATCCAGGTGCTGCTGTTCCACACAGCTGCTTCTGCTGAAACACCCCCTGCCTGCTGTTTCAGGGTCATCTGCTGCGATACAGCAGAGACTGTGAGAATCAGTTACAAAGACGCATTTTACAAGTATGTATCTAGTGTCAGGGTGTTTGTCTGTGATCTAACAGTTTGAGTCTCTGTTGTTGGTGAATCAACGACTTTGTAAAGTCCGACTGAGGAGCATAGATCTGTGAGTACAATGCTACTCGCCGCATACAACTGTTAAGTAAATAATTAGGGTCTGCTTCTGAATCAAGGACATAGGACTCTATGTGATTGATTGCTAATGTTGGAAAAAAAAGTTAGCTTTACACTGTAAAATACAGCTGCAGAGGACAATGAGGGGACTGAGGGATACAGAAAGACCACGGTTATCGTCTGAACCATTCACAGCGGTTCACACAAGCCACAAACATTTTCAATTCACTTTATTCTTGTAACGCCCTAAGTCACAACAGTATAGTTTTCTTGAAGGACTTTACACAACCGTGAAATTAGCCAACACAGATCAGAGAATCAAACAGTTCGAACACAAGAAAACAACAACTACAATATCCTAAAAATACTGATGTGATTGTCTTTAAAAGTGTACACAAACATTTTCTGCCATTTTTGAAACAGTAGCCGCAACGTTGTAATTTCCTCACAGTTTTCTCACATTTTGTCCTGCTCTTTGCCCCCGACATCAAAAGGAACGGTAATTGATTAGTTCGAGATCAATGGCAGCTATTTTGGTTATGCCAGGATGCAGTCTGATCAATGGAAACACTATTTTGTGAGTCAAGGGCAGGACCTGGCTTCCACACACAGAAAAAAATAAGACCTTGATTCAAAACTGGGAGGAAACGGACAGTCCCAACAAACAAATGCTGAAGACAGTCCCTCCCTCCCTCACACACACACACACACACACAAACAAACAAAATAACATTCCCTGTGCTTGCGTAGGTTTCCTCCGGGTGCATGCACGTAAGCCTTAGTGGCATTAGGATGGGTCAAATGCAGAGGATGAATTGCCCTACGGGGATTAATAAAGTGCGCCGACCTGAGAGATCGAGCCTTCATGAGAGAAATTATACGGATGACCCAAAGTTTATGTAGGAATTTCATGTACCCAGTAATTTGAATATTATAACCTCATATGGTCGTCGCAATGGTTGAGTTTCATCAAATAATCAAAAATTGGCTGACCAACATACAAATCACTACCAAACTTAAGTCAACCATGGCGCCAAGAGGGTTAAGATTAAATGTACATAGGGGGATGTTCTACTTCCGGGTGGATCATCAAGACTAATGGCCCTCCCAATTGTCAATACAATACAATACAATTACAATACAATTTATTCTTGTATAGCCCTAGGTCACAACAGAAGTCATCTCAGAGGACTTAACAAAACCATTGAAATCACCAACACAGGTCAGAGAATCAACAGTTAAAACACATGAAGAATATAAAGCACACACAGAAGAAAATGTCCATACATGTTGTAGAATGCTAAAGTGTCCTGATCATCACCAATCCTTTCTGTTGGACACTAACCGTCCAACAAGACCCTCCTGCATCGACAAGGAAAAACTCTTAAAAAACCCAGTGGGAAAAAGTGAGAAACCTTGGGGAGAACTAGGGAAACCCACAGGGAGGGAGACCCATATGAGAAAGGGATCCGCTCCTCCGGACGGACAGGCTAATGATCTAGGACCTAAGCTAGCTACAGAGCGTGGACCAGTGGCCGCTGAACGTGGACAGGTCCGGTGCAGGACTGAAGCACTCCCAGGCGGGTCGGGCGGGGAAGTCCGCAGGTGCAGATGGAGGAGGCCAGGCTCAGAGATCCCGTCATCGTACCATGAAACAGACAATGGGACAACGGGTGAATAGCAATGAACAAACTACAGTCAAAATCCTAATAATGCTAAACAGATAAAGTAGGAAGGAGGAGAGGATAGTGCTCAAGTTACCATACTTCTCCCAGCAAACTGACTCCCTATGCAGCTTGACTGACAGTCTGAGGAGTTTAGCCTTCCCTGAGTCTTACCTTCCTAGCCATATGCTAAACTAAAGAGGACTGTTTTAAACCTAGCCTTGAATAAAGAGAGCGTATCTGAAAGAAGGTGAGACAGCAGCAGCCACGGCTAGGCTAGCCCAGGTTACAGCACCAAGATTCATGGATTGCACACCAGGTGTGCCAAACCGATCCAGGCAAACCTAATTATATATTATATATCATATATATCACATGTACCATACATTATATATATTATATAATACATAACATAACATACAGCATAATATATAACATAATATACAACATAACACAATACACAACATAATACATATATTGTATAATATATAACATAATATATAACATAATACAGCATATATATATAATATATACACCATATATAATATATTACCTAATTACCTTGACGAGCACAAATCAATCATTCCGGTGATTCGTGTTCGTCAAGTAAGACCAGAGAGTTTTGATCAAAAAGTGTAGAGGCAGGTTCTTTCCTCAAATTTGGGAAAATCCTCCTTTATACCTTCAAGAGTTCCTTTGTTCGTCCCACAGTCGGGAAATGTCAGTGTTGCATCCCACAGATCAGTGGGAATGAGGAGCACACAGCACAAAAGAAATGAACAATAACTGTAAACTAAAACAAAATTAAATTTCTAACTTCTGCATTAAAAATAAGATGATATAAGATAAACTTTATTGATCTCACAATGGAGGAATGTACATGTCACATTTGGTATAGCATTTCTAGCTTTAGCATAATATTTGTTTTTTATTTAACCTTTATTTAACCAGGAAAGTCCCATTGAGATTAAGAACCTATTTTTCAGGAGAGACCTGGAGGAAGCCAATCAAAAAACACAATTTTAGCATTATGAAGAAGCAAGTACAAAATCTCTGACTTTAGCACAAGAAAGAAGCACATGTGAAATACTGCATATTCTAGTGCATTTAATAGATAGTTGTATGTTTACTTCTGCACAGAGAACGTTCTACATTTGGCCTCTCTACGTGTTCAGCAGGAGCCTGGCAACTGGAGCGTAAACATGGCGGCTGTCCACAGGTTGTCCGCGGCTGAGCTCACCTGCCACTATATTTACTCTGACAGGCGAGATAGCAGGCTTGTTGTGGGGCATGGCATCCAACAGAGAGGTGAGAAGCATGTGGGTGCAGCTCCTCCTCTGTGGTAGTGGCGGCTGCGAACAGAGAGGCTCGCTGAGAAAGGACAGGAGACAGTGGTTAATCAAATCTGAATGTACAAAAGAGTCATTTTTTTGGCCTTTGTCTAAAACCGAATATGGCTTACACTGCAAAAAATGTTGAAATGTGAGGTAATAAATGCTTGAATTGAGTGTTTTTATGTTAATTTGAGTGCATTGTGGCTGTCTTAGAACAAGATTCATCAATCGGACAAAGCCTTTTAGTCCTATTTCACGAACTGTTGCTTATTTTCTCATTCCAAAATGTGCTAAAATTAAAATACATTCAGCCAAATTTGAGAGATTTTTGATACTTTTTGCAGTGTACCCTAGCCTGCTGTATTTTTGTAACATAGAAAAAGAAAAACCTAAAAGAGAGTAGTTTGTTTTTTCTTTCCATAATTATCTTAGTGCAGCAAACTGTGACTTAATAACACTGTCCCATATTCTCATTATCTGATATAAGACATATCAGTTCATATTTTTGCATAAATCTAAAATGAAACAGGATTTTCTCAATTTGAGCTGAGTTCTGCTCAAATGTTGAATGGCTTTGGGGCATGGATCTATTATAACTGGATAGGGTATTACTAGCTTGTAGCTGAAGAACCATGTGCTCGGGGGATTCTCGCGGTACTGCAGACTAAATTCACGTGGGCTACCCGGAAATTTTCCCCATAAAACTCAATGTAAAACAGCTCAACCTCAGCTGACAGAGAACCTACAGCTTTCATAAAGGTCGGATTTTGTGGGGATTTTAGTGTCGCTTGTCATCCTGAACTTTTTTTCTTCTTAAATCCTTCAGTTTTCTTTAAATTCACACTTTAGTGCCACAAATTCTGCTCGCCTGGCTCCCGCTCTAACTCCCGCTCTGATCAGCAGTTCTGATTGGTCAGAGCGCGGCCGAGCCCCACACACGTGCAACGCATCATGGAAGTTCATCCACTGCACAGAACTGAGAGGACCTACAATGCCCAAATACAGGCGAGTTTCCCATGGATCTTTGCGAGTTTCCCATGGATCTTTGCGAGTTCCAGGCCGAGTTGCGCTAATCTTTCAGCCTCCCACACCTTGACCTAGAGCCATTTTGGTGAAAGTTTGGAAGTGTCCCGTGGGTCATCGGAACACTTCCTCGTTGATGTCTTAAGATGTTGGTTTTTCTTTTCTTTTTCTTGATTCCATTAAGTGCACTTTCCCACAGCATGATGCTGCCCCCTGTGCTTCACAGATGGTCATGGTTCATTTGTCTTGCGATGGACATACATTGCATATTATTAAAAACAATATAATCACTCAAAAACAATTACAACCACAATATAAGTTCATAGTATAAAGTGCTCAAATTATGTGAATTTTGCAAACAGGAATAAAAAATATCACAATACTTTGTTAATTGTTAAAGGGCGGTTCTATTTCACCTCCAGGCCTTTCTACGTGGAGTTTGCATGTTCTCCCCGTGTCTACTTAGGTTTTCTCCGGGTTCTCCAGTTTCCCCTACCACTAAAAACATGAACAATAGGTCTGAATGAATGAGTGAGTGAATGGATGGTGTCGGTTGGAGGATTTGATGCCAGCGTGTTTGGCGCTGTTCTTCTGCCATCACCGTGTGAAGAGAATGGAAAAATATCTGAACTCTCAACAATTGCTTTGGGTGACCTTAGTCTGTAAAATGTGCTATAAACATGACTTACTAACTTACTTAGCAGTGGGGATAAAACTATTCTTGTACGAGGTGAGATGGATACTTCGTCCTTTTTCATCCAAGCAATGAAACTAAAATGGACTAAAAACTGAACCGAAGTCGACCATGTAGAAACACAGGGAAGTCTGCTCAAGTTCCTGCAATTAACAGATGTGTATTTTACATTCTAACATGAGACCTCAAGGACAACATAACTATTTGGTTCAATGCTCCACTTTCCTTTGCTTATTGCAGATCGTGACCTTTAAACAAAGTCGATCATACATGAGGTATCATCCGCCATCTTCGTATATGATTTGTAGCTTTAATTTTTGCACAGGGGAGTCCCAAATCTCTCAGGACCCAGAGAGGCACAAGCTTTCTTTAACTAACAAGACAAGAATTTAGTGCAGACCAAAGATAGATCCGATTTTTGAGGGTCACAGCTAGCATTTGTTAGTCAGCAGGGAGCCCGCGATGGTGGCAGGACTATCAAGACAACAGATTATTACAGCGACTGCTCCCGGACCTTTCAGTCACACAACAGTGGGCGGCACGGTGGCTGAGTGGATAGCACTCTCGCCTCTCAGCAAGAAGGTCCTGGGTTCGAATCCCGGTCGGACCAGGGCCTTTCTGAGTGGAGTTTGCATGTTCTCCCCGTGTCTGCGTAGGTTTCCTCCGGGTACTCCGGTTTCCCCTACCACTAAAAATATGTCCAATAGTTCTGGCATGCGCTTCCTGTACTGGCGACCCCGCTCCCATCTCTGTGTGGAGTGAGAGACAAATGCCCAAAATTAACAATTGTAAACCGCTTTGAGACTCAGGTCTGCAGTGAAAAGGCGGTATATAAATAAAAACTTACTTACTTACTTACTTACAACAGAAATGTCACTATCCAATTATTGAAATACATCAGGACTGATCTTGATAGTAACAGGTTGAAAAATTAAATTAAAAACACCTTTTCCTGAACGTGCATGGAGATTGTGAACTTCACTCTTGCTTCTTTGTCATACTAAATTTAGAAATTATATACTTGCTTCTGCATTATGCAAAAGTAAGAGATTTTATACTTGCTTCTATGCTAAAGCCAGTGGGGGAGGGTCCCGGCTCAAAAGTGGCCAAAATGACGTGGCTGACATGCTGCAATACCACCCCGGGCCGACGTCAAAAACGTCTTTACAGGATGGACCAAAAGTTGGCTCTTGGCCCAAAACTCCGTTCCACATGTGTGTCAATGCTGAGGGGGGTGAATTTTTTTGGACCACTCTAGTTTAGTCGCTGTGAATTTTTGAAGTCACTCGTTTAAATGAATGGGGCTTATGTCGGCTGACGCATGCGCCGATGCGTTTTTTCACATTTTCCACCCCCGTGGCCATTTAGAATAACTCAATGAGAGCCCAATTTTTGGCCCATTAGTTAGAACGGCGGAGATAGCCGTGACTACGTCCGTTAATATAAACAGGCTATGGCTAAAGTAAGTGATTTTATTCTTGCTTTTTTATTATGCTAAAGTTAAAAATGTTATACTTGCTTGTTTATTATGCTAAAGTTAAAGATTTTATACTTGCTTCTTTAACATGCTAAAGATAGAGATAACTTTTTAGTATAGAATCCTTGTTCATTTATCTTTTTCCGCGTGTTCCTTATTCCTACCGTTCTGTACCAAAAACACTGAAATCTCCCCACTGTGGTTCAAATAAAGAATCTCTCTCCATCTCAACCTTAACATCTTTCCCATGTTATTCGCGTGGCTCACACACAACATTCCCAGCCCCTCTTTTTACCTTCCATTTGCTTGATGTTTAGATGCACAGAGCAAACCAGAGCCAGCTCTCGCATTCACAGCCTCCTCCTCAAAGTTATCCGGAGCTCACCGCTGCAACTCAGCAAATTTGGCGGGCAGGTTTAATTTTCTTGGCCTCCGCCTCAGCTCTCGCCTCATGCATTTTTCATCACCTCTATCCTGTTCCCACCCACCCATCGCTGTTGCACAATGCTATCGATCGGCGATTAAGCCATCGGAGGTTATAAAGAGGTTAATATTTTAAAGCTGTTTGCAGCCCGCCATACATTACATTACAGCATCTGCACTTCGTTTTATTTTATTTTAAAGAGTTTCCGCTTACGTCCCAATGTCAGGTTTATGAATGTTTGATGCAATGCAGACGCTGGCATTTTTCTTTTTCTGTGTTTTTTTCTCCCCGTTGCTTAGTGGCGATGCTTAGCCCAGCTCTGAGGTGGCAAGTTCGATCAGCTGACGATGCCAAAGGTCGGCGGGGGGAAGCTTGTCCGTCAGCAAAGGAAGAGAAGAAGAGAGGAAGAGGGTCAGTGGGCGCTAACCCCTGGTGTAGGATGTGTCTGCTTGTTGACCAATTTGCTTATGGTAATTCTGATAGATCTCCCGAAGGCCCCCGGCGATACCGCGGCCTCAGCGTTATTTGTGACCAGCAGGCAAAGATTCTGCAGTCTCATCCTGTTTGCACGACTGATGAGCAACTTTTGATTATTTTAAAGGTGTTAATTCCAAATAGATGCCATGACAGCTCGCGTGATCTCGCCACCTGCTACTAAGATATTTACCCCACGACGGGATTGTGCAAGATATGGACAGTGGTTTGAATTGTTGTCCATTGAAATGTTAAAAGTAAAGGAACACCTGCTGATGCTACTTTAGGTTAATCCTGAACTTCGTAAATACAGTACATTTCTGATACAAATCTGACAGCCTGCTCTGTGTGCGCCTGTTTGTGTTCTGTGTATGTCTCCTTATGATTGTGTATCGTTTGTTGTATGATGTGTGACTGAATGTTTTCTTGTCTTGTCCTCGTAAATATTGTAAATAGATCACATTATTTTAACTGTCTGTGTAGCAAACATGTTTTTTATCTTTCAGGAGACACGGGACTACAAATGGCTAATTCTGGCAAAATTACCGAAATGTTCATTAACATGCACTGTCCCTGTAATAAATAAATAAATGTATGGTTTTTTTTACAATGTTCAGTGTTCAGATATTTAAGATATTTACAACGTTCAGAGTTCAGAATCTGACACCAAAACAGTTACTGAGCTTGAGAAGTTTACTTTTAAATAAATGTCAATAGGAGCCAGAGCGAGTCGGAGCAAAACTTTATCCATGAGCACTTCCCGATTGGGCTTCTTTGAGCATAGTTGGTGTAGATACTGTCCATCTTTACACAGTCTATGTTTTATTTTCTCTCTAAAGTGACCCCTTCCTCCCTGTTTGCTTTTAGGCTCAAATCCCAGTCGTCCATAGCAGTGGTTGTGATGAGTGAGGAGCAGAGCCTGTCACTTGACGCTGTTTCACTTCCTGCAGCACAAAGCAGAGAGCCGGACAACGTGCTTGAGCAGTTTTCCCAATCACTAGGATCACCTGTGACAAACCGCACCGGGCCCCGATCGATCCGGCACCGTCCCCGGGGCCAAAAGAATTAATGTAAGTCTTCGCAGCCTGGTGTTCCCGAAGCGTGGGAGGACGGACCTGTTTCTGCTAATAGTACATTCATCAGGTTTGTTTGTTGTTATGTAAAGCCGGTGCAATCTGGCGAAGGGCTGGGGTCTGTGTATTTTGAATTATGGAAAGGCAAGATTATTTGTATAGCACAATTCATACAAAAGGCAACGCAAAGTGCTGAACAAGGCAAGGTAGAGACAGACTCGTTAAAATCATAAATAATCACAGCGCATTGCAAAAAGCGATAAAAAATTGGCAAAATGTTTCTTAATCTGTGCACATTTTGACTGCCCTATTTGCCAATGGGACAAAAAAAATGCAGATAGAAGAAATGGAATGAGAAAATAAAGCAATTTTTAACTTATTTTTCATCACGTGGTACCATTAATATTTACCTCTTTTGTTATAATTTTTTGCAGTGTCAAATCCCTCAGTTGTCTGCACAGCTAAACAGAACTATTTTAACCTGGATTCAAACATATCCAGAGTAGAATCCTGTCTCACATTTTAAGGTAGACTGTTCCAGATGTTGCATGAATCTGAAATGCAGCTTCATGTTTCGTTCTGACTCTGGGCACCTGGAGCAGATCTGACCTTTATTTAACCAGGAAAGACCCATTGGGATTAAGTGAGTACTGGACAAGAAGCAGCAAAAGTTACACACAATTACCTAAAATTACAGATTATAAAAACAGTTACATGTCAATCTGGATTTTAAAGCATTTAAAAGCACTTTTAAAAAAAGTTAATGTCCAAATTTTCTGCAAACACATATATGCTTCAAACACATGAATTATTCTGTAGTAATATTATTGACATTACTGTTTTTCAAAGGGAATCACTAAACAGGGTTAGGATCCAAAAATGCTTTATTATTTTCCAATTCAAGTCCAGTTATTTCAACAGAACAAATCCATTCCCGACCACGAGAACTAAAGCAGAGAATATTTTTGTCACAAGCTAGATCCTCCATTAATGTACCCGTTATAAAACCTGAAAAATGGCCGATCTGTTTACATCTGCAGCCACTTTACCCACTTTCTACATTCTGCACACTCATAATACTGAAGGGCCCTGGTGTGTTTGTTCATGCGATGGAAAAGTGTGACCAAAACAAGATGGTTTTTTCCACTGTCCCTGCCAGGTCAGGTCTCCCCCATGGCTTTGCTTTTACATAAGAATAACTGGGATCTTGTTTTATTTATGTACTGGTCTTGTGCACACTGGGGACTTTTGCAAATGTATTCCAATGTGGTTTTACTGCAAATAAATGAATCTGAATCTGGGAGTAGCATTACCCTACAGCAGAGACCATACCATAGAAAACAGTGCATCTTACTTCTGTATAAAGACGTACACTCAAAAGCAAGTTTTAAAATCCCGTGAAGCCAAAAAACTTCCTATGGGCTCCTACTACTGTCCTGTCCTGTATGTGCGCTGCAACCTTGAAATTCCCCCACTCTTAAAACAAGATTTGCCAATTGTCCCATTGGGAGGTAAACTGCTGTATACGGTTCCATGATTCTGTCAAACTGAAAGTATTCACACCCCATTGACTTTGCCACATTTGATTGGCATTCTGATGTGAAAAACCCACACAAAACAATGTTGGGTGATGTTGATCATTTCGAAGTGACACCAAAAAGTTGCAGCACAACGATGACTTTATGTGATAAATAATAACGGATAAGTATGTCTTGCAAAAGTATTCATGCCCCCTAAGTGGGGAGTGGAGAGAGGAGGAAGAGCAGGAGGGACCATGGGGAATGGAGAGAGGAGCAGGAGCAGGAGAGACCATGGGGAATGGAGAGAGGAGCAGGAGCAGGAGAGACCATGGGGAATGGAGAGAGGAGGAGGAGCAGGAGAGACCATGGGGAGTGGAGAGAGGAGGAAGAGCAGGAGAGACCATGGGGAGTGGAGAGAAGAGGAAGAGCAGGAGAGACCATGGGGAATGGAGAGAGGAGGAAGAGCAGGAGAGACCATGGGGAGTGGAGAGAGGAGCAGGAGCAGGAGAGACCATGGGGAATGGAGAGAGGAGGAGGAGCAGGAGAGACCATGGGGAGTGGAGAGAGGAGGAAGAGCAGGAGAGACCATGGGGAGTGGAGAGAAGAGGAAGAGCAGGAGAGACCATGGGGAATGGAGAGAGGAGGAAGAGCAGGAGAGACCATGGGGAGTGGAGAGAGGAGGAAGAGCAGGAGAGACCATCGGGAGTGGAGAGAAGAGGAAGAGCAGGAGAGACCATGGGGAGTGGAGAGAGAGAGGAAGAGCAGGAGAGACCATGGGGAGTGGAGAGAAGAGGAAGAGCAGGAGAGACCATGGGGAGTGGAGAGAAGAGGAAGAGCAGGAGAGACCATGGGGAGTGGAGAGAAGAGGAAGAGCAGGAGAGACCATGGGGAGGGGAGAGAGGAGGAAGAGCAGGAGAGACCATGGGGAGTGGAGAGAAGAGGAAGAGCAGGAGAGACCATGGGGACTGGAGAGAGGAGGAAGAGCAGGAGAGACCATGGGGAGTGGAGAGAGGAGGAAGAGCAGGAGAGACCATCGGGAGTGGAGAGAAGAGGAAGAGCAGGAGAGACCATGGGGAGTGGAGAGAGGAGGAAGAGCAGGAGAGACCATGGGGAGTGGAGAGAAGAGGAAGAGCAGGAGAGACCATGGGGAGTGGAGAGAAGAGGAAGAGCAGGAGAGACCATGGGGAGTGGAGAGAAGAGGAAGAGCAGGAGAGACCATGGGGAGGGGAGAGAGGAGGAAGAGCAGGAGAGACCATGGGGAGGGGAGAGAGGAGTATGAGCAGGGGGCAGGAGGACCCATGGGGAGTGGAGAGAGGAGGAACCATGGGGAGTGGAGAGAGGAGGAACCATGGGGAGAGGAGAGAGGAGAAGGAGGCAGGAGGACGCATGGGGAAGAGGAGCAGGAGGGACCAGGAACTGGAGAGAGGAGGAGGGGCAGGAGCAGGAGGCACTAGGAGCTGGGAAGAGAAGAAGGAGCAGGAGGGAGCAGGTAGGTGTGGAGATCTGGAGTCAAGTCAAGTCAAAACTGCCCATTAATTACTTTATCTGATTTTCTTTTCAAACCGAATAATCAATAACTGAATGTAAATTGATGTTAGCCTCGTTAGCATAGTACACTGATGCTAGTCTTGTTAGCATATTTAACCTGCCATTAACCGACCTCATGTTTCCCGTGGAGGAGGAGACGTGCTCTCGGCCGGTGGCTGATGGTGGCTGATGGTGGCTGATGGCAGCACTGGTGTGAGAATCTCCCACTTACCGCAGGGGTGTCAAACTCATTTTAGTCGGGGGCCATTAAGAAACATAAGAGCAGGTGGGGGGCCGCAACTGTTCTTCAGGTTTACTGTTTTAGCACAGTCTCTGTCGCTTTGTCACTCCAAACCACATAATTAAAGGTAAAGGTGCACTTTATTGATCCCCGTAGGGCAATTCATCCTCTGCATTTGACCCATCCTGATGCCGGTAAGGCTTACAACAGGAGCAGTGGTCGCCGTAGTAACAGCGCAAGGGAACCCA